TAGAGAGGGCCACACAGAGCTCAGATCATTGGCAAGGCATCCAGAGCTGGATATGCTTTTCCAGACTTTTCCTGAGCTTTTTTGGCTTCACACATCCCTAATTTAGATTTGTCTGGGCTGTTTTGGGCCCGTTCTGTAAATGAAACTATGGATACGGGCTTATTTTCTGTGGGCCAAATTCCTAAGTCCTTACTGTTGGGTATTTTTACTCAAGCCTTAGGCAGGCAGAAGCTTCCCTGAATTCATTAAGAGTTCTGTTGGGATCATTAAAGGGGGTTCAAAAAAGAACTAGATAAATTCATGGAGGTTAGGTCCATTAATACTTTTTAGCCAGGCTGGGGAGGAATGGTGTCCCTAGCCTCTGTTTGTCAGAGGCTGGAAGTGGATGACAGGAGAAGGGTCACTTGATGATTACCTGTTCTGCTCCCTCTCTCTGAGACATCTGAGATTAGCCACTGTTGGAAGACATGTCCATTCTTATGTTTTTAAATGCTAAGATGACAAGAGGGCTACAAATGCGGAAATAAAAGCATGGGGAAGTTGCAGAACACATGAAGTTGCAGAACACAAAAAGCATGGGGAAGTTGCAGAACACATACACCAGACTAACACAGCTACATTTCTATCACTATAAAAATTTATGTGTACCTATGGAGCTTGGTCATTATTACACTATGGACTGGAACCAGTCTGATTAAATGAAAGAGACATCAGAAGGCCAGAGGCTGAAGAAAAGAGAGTTTTTGAACAACTGAAGATAACTTTACAACAAAGTTAGAGGAAGACTTAGGATATGAAATTAGGATTAGTTACACTTGTAAAGATTATGATAGCGGGGACCCTTCAGAAGACAAACAGATGCCAGGATGCCCAGGAAAATAATGCAAACAAATCGGAGGTCAGTCCAGCCTTGACACTGACCATTGACTAGATGAAAACAACAAAAGGTCTGGTAGCACTTTATAGACTAACAAAACATGTAGATGGTATCATGAGCTTTCGTGGGCACAGCCCACTTCTTCAGATGACTGGAGTTATGAGTAGGGGATATGAAAACTGGAAATAAATAGGAAAAGGGAAGAGAAAGGAAAGAGGAAGAGGTGTGGGGGGAACAGGGCATCATTAAGTATCTGGAGAATGGGTACTTAAACCTAAGCAGATAAAGATTAAAGTCAATAGATCTTTCTGAGCAGAATCCTTCCTGTCTCAGCAATCTATCTATTGACTTTGATCTTTATCTGCTTAGGTTTAAGTACCCATTCTCCAGATACTTAATGATGCCCTGTTCCCTCCACACCTCTTTCTCTTTCCTTTCTCTTCCCTTCTCCTATTTATTTCCAGTTTCAATATCCCCTACTCATAACTCTGGTCATCTGAAGAAGTGGGCTGTGCCCACGAAAGCTCATGATACCATCTACATGTTTTGTTAGTCTATAAAGTGCTACCAGACCATTTGTTGTTTTTTTCTGTAACAGACCACCTTGGTTACCCCCTGAAGCTGTTGACTAGATGGTGGGGTATTGTATGCAGGGACATAACTAGGCTGGGTTTACCAGAGGAGCAAGCCATGGACAGGACTGAATGGAGACTGTCCCACTCCCTGTCTGTAAAGATGCTTTGGGATTAAAGAAGTCATTTGAGGGGATCTTCATATTTATGATAGGAAGATGCTCATTCAAACACCTGAGTCTTTGGACAAGTGATCCTTGTATATATCTGCCTGTTGAGTAAACAGCCTGTTTTGAAGTGGCATGAAATCCTAAATGCAGAAGCAAGTGAACATGCCTAAGCAAGCAACAAGTCACAAGAGATGTAAACTATTTGACAGCTGGGGTTAGAAAAATAATTTTAGCAACTCTTCTTTAAGCTGGGCCGGGTGCTCCCTCCCACACACTTGCTGTGACTACCCTCTGCACAACTGTGAGTCTAGCATCTGACATGACTCACGTGGCTGGGCGAGCTGAACTTTAGTGAGAAGCGTCAGCTTCCTAAAACATTTTTATAGTGACTAAGAGCACAGAGAAGCCCATCAAAAGGCCCTCTCTAG